AAACATATTAAAAAGCAGTACATTTCTGGGATGTGGGTGGTGCTGTAGGGTGCCTTTTCTCCAATGTCCCGGAAATTTCAGCAGGTGAGACAGGAGAGGCCTTATTTACTATCGAAAAAGGGCTGAAATTCCGTTTCTTGTTTATTGCAGATAAATTTTCTTCTTCAGGTACACGTCTGCTTTCGCATGATGCCATGAAAGGAGCGTTGATGATTTATTTCTATCGGTAGGTTTTTCATCTGTTGTTTTTCTTCCTTTGTGCCATGACTAGAACAGATAAAGAAATTAAAAAGAAAAGTAAAGCGAACTGCTCTCCATCCTGCTGTGCAATTTCCAGAATTGAAACAAAAAACTTTCAGAGATATGCCACGGTTTTCGCAGCCCTATCAAATCCTCACCTACCTCATGGACATTGACAGTCTGTTCACAAAATGGCGATGTCAGTCAAATTTCACAAATTTTCACAAAATTTTTTCACAATGTTTCTTCTCGTGTTTCTTTCTGGTGACACTTCTGGATCGGTACTTCAGAATACTCTTTCATATGCAGGGTGCTCCATAAAGACGGTGGCAAAGGTTCAAAAGGGCGCAAGTTTCCCTGTGAAGCCTTTCTCATCATTTTCGCTTCTATCAGACGCCGTCGCTTTGTATTCCAACACTTCGCGACAAGCACGTTGTAGCGAATAACCAAGGTGCAACATGCCGACCCAGACCCCCATCGTAACCGCCCGCCCACAAATGGCCGTACAGTCACATGGAAGCTACCCTTATCACTTCATTTATGGAGCAAAATTTACACGAAGCGTTGCTAAACGGATATATGACTACATATGTACAGTCGTGTCTATCAAAGTGGTTGTTGGGACGACGCCAACGGGGAACTCGTCCTGAAAATGCTCGTCCGATGCCGTGCAGAACAAAGGTTTTCCGCAGGTTTTGGCAGTTTAACTTCGCATTTTCGTCATTTCCCCACTACAGTGCACCAAGTTCGGCTATAATATCACATCTGCAGTGATTACGAAAAGATACTGCTGTGAGTGAAAAACCAGTTTGAAAACGATGTTTGAATTGTTCAAAGAAATGAAACTTCGGCTCAAAGAGAAGGGAAAGCTCAAGCCTGTTGGCGCAGTCAGTGTTCACGGAATTACTTGCTGTTCTCACTGACTAACAGTTTCGCCAGATGTCAAACTGGTGGGAGTTATGCGTATGATGGTAACGAACACCCTACAGGAGAAATCCTGCACACAGCTGGAGCTCTGAAGAAGTCACAGGAAAATTTGGAACAAGATTCCTCAAAGAGCATTGCGTGCCGGGGGCGATGTGGTGGGTCTTCAAGCCCTTCAATGGTGCTGGATATAGCAATGTTGTATGGCCTTGCGCCTCTTATGTTACCGCGACCAAAGATAAATAACTCCTAGAGGCAGCGTGAACTTGCTTGATTTCCTGTTTTTTTTTGCGCTGCAATAATTGTACTTTGTCAACGTGTTTATGGCGCAGTCTATATGGTGAGCTGGGTTCTACAGACTGGAACAATTACCTCCATTCTCGTCTTATAAAAGGCACATAGTTTAGATAACCACGTGATTCTGGTGCAGCGAATGCTGGGAAGCAAGCAAGGAACCGGTGGCAGTTCAGGGTACATGTATTTACGGAGTACTGTTAGGTAATGATCATTCACTTCGGTTTCTCAAGTGTAACAATCAGTACGACGACAATGATATTTCAGTGACAAGTACAAAGTGTTCCTGGATTTGTTCAATCTATCAACATGGCTCATCCCCCGTGAATATATCCCAACTCTGACGCCACGAATGGTGAAAACGCTTTCGGAGCACTCAAATCTCAGCGCTTCTATGATATCGTCCGAGAGCGAATGAGATGATCACAAACGAAATTTCATGCATAAATTCCTAACTACGTGCAACTTCAACAGAGCACAAATTATCGAATAAAAATCTCAGAATCAACTGAATCTTTTTCTTCTGTAAGATCCCTGGAGATTCCTGTTCCACTCTGGTGTAACCTGTGAACTCTTGTGAAGCTGAGCAAGCTCGTCAAGTCACCACGGTGAAACCTGTAAACTCTTGTAGGCCGAAATAATTCTCAGATGGCTCGACAAGTCGATGAGAAGAAGCAGAAGTGCAAAATGCCTTCTTGTCGTCGAACTGCGCCCCGCACACTCTCTCTCAAATATGACCTCTGAGAGACTTGTGCGTAATCAACTTCGATAAAAGACCTCA